CTCCTCCTTTGTTCTGTGAACACAGACTTATGGGGAGTCTATTACAGCCAAACAAAGGCGACACACAGGGAGCAGCGACACAGTCTGTTATAGAACAAGAACGACGGCAGCTCCGAACGCTCTGCAGTCGCTCTCTCTCTCTCTGTCTCTCTAGCTCTCTCTCTCTCTCTGAACTGTTATCGATCCCAGCTCAACCTGTTTCACTTCTGCTCCTGTTCACCTCTCACTTTACTTTCTCCTCTTGTAAATTACCTCCCTCACCCCCCAGACCCCCCCCCCTCACCCTCCTCCTCCTCCACCAGGTACCTTTGTTGTACATGTTGGTCGGCACCTGCACCACGCTGAGGCTCAGGTTGACGGACAGATTATTGAAATGGTCGTTGGGCTCCAGGATGAACTCTCCGCCCAGCTCCACGTTGTTGCCCTCCTCGTCCACTTCGTTGATCAACACGGCGTTGAAATACTCGTACTGGTAAAAAGAAAAAAGAAAAAGAAAAAAAAGATGGAAGTTACAGAAAACCTTGAAGACACTGCAGCTGGAGCAGAATCCTGCAGAGGGCGACGTACAACAGACCCAGTGATAACTGTGGAAGACAGGGGGGTCAAACTCATTTGGGTTCAGGGGTCACATACAGTCTGATGAGAGGTCAAGTGGGCCGGACCAGTACAATCATAACATAACAATAATATCAATAGAATAAAATATTATAGAAAATATTCATATTAATTAAAACATCAACAACATGATGTTTGTGCTTTTTTTTACTTTCAAAATTCATCAAATGGGCCGCATTGAACACGCTTGCGGGCCGATTTTGGGCCGCGGGCCGTAGGTTTGACATCCCTGGTGCAATGCAAAAAACATACTGAAATATTATGGCATTAAACAAACCCACATTTCCAGAGAAGTTAGTACAGAATTCAAACTTAATTGCACTTAATATACTGACAATAATTGACATTTTTCTTCCCTAAACTTTAACTTGAATTCTAGTTAGTTGAACATAAACATTTTTGGAAGGTAACATCTGGAACTACCTGAACTTCTATCATAAACCTTTGGAGGATTCACCATCAGTTACTGAGGAACTGTCGCCTTTCTTTGGTAAATTAAACTGCATTTTTTTCAGCTATGCTGCTGCTATTATTTAAAATCCAAACTTTTCTTTTTGAGGTGGAACATTTTTAGGTTTCTGAGAGTTAGATCAAACTCTCACACGATGGATTTTTAACTTCTTCAACCCCGTGCTGTCACCATCTGTCAGGAGACTCCAAAGACTGTGAACCAGAATCTAATGTTAAGTCAGGCCTGTGTTAAGTAAAACCCACTGATGTGTCTGTCCCGTCCTGTCCCGTCCTGTCCTGTCCTTCACTCTCTACGCTCCAACAAGAAATACTTCATCCTGTCTGAACAGCCTGGCTGTGGCCTCTGGTCCTTAATGTCTGCACCGAGGGAGGGGGAACGAGAGAGAGGGCAGAGACAGAGACAGAGGGAGGGACGGCTGATGGACTCTGCAGCATCACACTCAGGGGAGGCCGTGCAGGCATCACTATCAAGCAGACCCTGACAGCTCATACCACGGCTGAGCAGCTCGCTGACGAGCTGCGGTGGGGGGAGGAGGGGGAGAGAGGGGAGGACGGGGAGGACGAGGGCTGCAGAGAGGGAGAAAACGTGCAGCCTCAGCAGAAACGGTGGCTGTGGAGAGGCACGTTAACCACCACCACGGGGTTATTACTGTAGAGTGTGAGGACACTGCAGCTCCCCGAGACGCCTCGCTGACTCTTACACCACTGCAGTTAGCTGTGGGCCTGGTACTGCAGAGACCTCCCCTCACTCTGCACCCACGGAGGGGCCTTACTGTACGGCAGCTCCTCCTCTCACTCAGGCTCTGCACCGTGAATGAAAAAAAAAAGCTTCGTGATCGTAAGGCCGGCAATTATTTCCTCATTTTCTGGCTTATTATTTGAGGTAATTATTGCTTAACAAGAAGAGTCATAACACAGTGTGAGCTAAATAATAACTGGAAATCACTATAAAAAAATATACGTACATCAATTCACCGTCGTTTAAACTCCTGTTGTTTTCTTCGTGAATGCTAAAACTGACATGATTTTTTTTCACTTTTCTTTTTTTACATTTAATCACAAAACAACATATCCCTAATGGTTATAAAATAAAGAATCTCACACTGTGTTGCTTACGACAAACACCTTTTAACCAACTTCTCCAGGATCAGCTGTAAATCAGCCTCATGTTTAAGGTCAAAGCGAGGTTTCTTCTCTCTGTGCGTCGTCAACGTGAAATATTAGCCTTCATTTCCA